AGAAACTAACACCTCAATGTTTTCCCACTCCAGCAAGCTTTTTTCATACATAAAGCCAGGAATATGATAACCACAAACAATATGGAAGGAATTAAATAAATTCCCAATATGTGAACTACAAAAAGAGCTTAATAATTCTTTCATTAAAGTACAGAGAGTGGAAGTTCCTAGAATCTTCTGCAAAAAATAAAAGTTCAAAATCTCACTTTACAGATTTTTAATAATAAAATTCTACACTTTTCCTATGGTGTTTTTTTTTCCTTATAAGAAAAGCAAACAAAACTTTCATCTACCCCCAGAGAACTAAGCTTACTGTCTCGTCACCACAAGTAAAGCAGTATGTCGACAGCCCCAGCCAGCAGTGAAAGCTCACAAGCCAGCCTCCTTCGGAACTTCACCTGCTCTGTTTTTTTGGATCCCAGGCTGATTTATAAGCCCTCTAAAGGCCGAGACAATCCCGTTTTCATCATGAATCATCACTTCAAATTATTATTTCAAAAAAGTAAATATTTAATTATTTAGGATCTAAAAATCCTGAAGACACATTCTTTATAAAGATTACTCACAGACAACACTCATAGCTTAGAGTTAAAAGGCATACTTAACTTTATTACTAGGAATTACTTTCTTCCAAACAAACTTATAATAGTTTAAAATCATAGTGTTTATTAAGAGTCTTAATTTCCTTTATAAGCTACCACTTAAAATAATTTTCCAAAGTAGATTATGTGCCTTTGTGGTGCTTAAAAGCAAAAGTATACTTCTGACATCTATTGAATGTGTTATTCTTTGGTCTCTTTTATTTTTACTTATCAAAATGATTCTTAACAGCTTAAAATTGGTATATTACTTTTCACCATCAATGAAATATGCTCTAAAGTATTACTAACTATATTTTAAATATCAGCTAGGTTTTATCTAAAACATGATATACAAAGAAGATGTTTTCACAATAGTCTACTGCATAGCTTAATTTAGTCTTTCAATAAATATATTTATTTAATATTCAGAAATTGGTAGGACCAGAGATAGCAGAATTAAAGTTAAATAAATTGCATTAATGCACTGTATTTTGGTTCTCTGCAAAAGATTATTCTATTACTTCCATTCCTAGTTCTGTTTCCATTTTGTCCCAAAATCATATTTCTTTAGCTCCACTATCTCTATATTCCTTTCTCTAATTCTATCAGCTTTCTATATCAAGTACATATATCTTTTTTTTTTTAATATATTTTATTGATTTTTTAGAGAGAAGAAGGGAGAGGGACAGAGAGTCAGAAACATCGATGAGAGAGAAACTTCGATCGGCTGCCTTCTGCACACCCCCACAGTGGGGATGTGCCCGCAACCAAGGCACATGCCCCCGACCGGAATCGAACCTGGGACCCTTGAGTTCGCAGGCCAACGCTCTATCCACTGAGCCAAACCGGTTTGGCTACATATATCTTTTGAGTTTAGTTTAAATGCATCTTTACTTATCCCCACTATATCTAAAATGCTTGCTTTACTACTATTTATAACTTAATTTGATAGTGCTCTATATCTACCCTTTATCAAAACTAATGGTAACAGTCAAACAAAATAGACTGATACAGTGCTCATGTAGTAATATGATATAGAAGAGCCTTCAGCAAAGACATTCAAACCCAGACTTTTCAACTCCCCTGTCTCCACCACTGATTCACCCCCGTCCAACTATTCTCCTGGCTTTATACTCCTACTATGCTGGATTTAGAGAGAATTCCACTCATGGTGTCACTGAATTTATCTCCCTAAAATGGCATATACACATGCTGTCAAGTAATGTATTTGAGAATCCCAAATGAAAAAATTCTGATATTTCCTACTTTGTACAATCCTAACAGATACATACCTATGTCATATGCCAGGAAATCGGCAGAAAAACATTTTGCACCGTTACTCAAGGAAGTGTCATTATGGGTATTTCCTCCAAAAATAAGCATAGCTCCATTGATAAGAACAGCTGAATGAAGGTATCTGGCAAACCCACTTTCTTTCAATATAGTCCTACAGGATAAAATTTAAAAATGTATTACAAAAGATAAAAAGACCTCCCTAATTTTATATATATATTATATAAAGGATCTAATTTGCATATAGAATTTTCCTTGGAAGTGTGAAATAACATGCTCCATTTTTAATATATATGTCCTCTAAACTTAGTATTTAAAAAAATATAAACGGCCTCTAAATTTCATATTTTTAGAAATATATTTCCAGATTCATAGTACCGTAAGATGCTTTGACGAAGCACAATATTAAACATAATTGCTAATGATTTTATAATAATTTACATTTTTAGTTTTGTTTTCATTTATAAAAGTAGGAAACAAGTATTCTTAAAACTAGAGGACCAATATTATCAGTTTTAAATACCAAATAAAAAATTAAATATAATAACTTTACCCTAAACTATATTGTTAAAACTACATAACTCATATGGATCCCATAATACACCTTTAACTTCTTAAGTATAATATAACATACAGAAAAGGAGTCTAAAGTCCAATGAATTCTCACAGGATGAACATAACTAAGTAACCAGCACTCAGATTTACATTATATATATATATATATAACTCCCCACTATTCTGATGTAGCAAAGATTTGCATTGCTGTCTTTGTACTTTACAAAATGGAATCATGTATTTTGTATTCATATGTATATTCTGTTGCTCAAGATTGTTTTTGAGCTACATTCATATGTTGTGTATAACTGAAAATCACAATGATTTTTGAGAATCATTACAAATAATATAAATGTCATTTTATTTAATTAAAGTACACCTGAGAAAAAATGCTACCAATATATTCTCATCATATTTCACCTGAATGAGCTGATATATAATAAAGGTACATGAGGATATGAATCAATGCTTCATAAGTGCCCTAAATAAATCCCTGGTACAAAGAATCAGAATGTAAACAGTACGTATAATCTAGTTAGCAAGGTATATACAGTATATCAAAAACCATCGGTTATAATACCAATTAATGGTTAAAAAATATGAGCAGACTTCCATCATGGCAATATAAGGAGTTCAACAAACATTCTCCCCTAGGAAAGAACTATAACCCATCAAAAAGATTAAAAAAAAAAACCATTAAGGGTCCAAAAATTTTTACTAAGAGCAACCATAAATATTTACTCAAGAATATCTACTAAATTTTAATAAGAACAACAGACCATTATTTCCAACCCATTGCCTGCTCCCACCCTCCCCCCCAGACCCCCCCAGCACAGACCAGTTCCCCCCAAGCAGGCATGAGAGCGAAGAACAGAGAACCCCTCCACCCTTAGCTCCTAGTCCAGGCCACTGGATCTAACCAGGAGAGGAGATGGCAATGCTTCTCATGTCCCCAACTCTGGGCGCATGGAGGAAGCATGAGAGGTCTGAAGCTCATCCTCTAACTCAAAGGGCAGCAGCTAAACACCTGGCCCAGCGGCTAAGAACACCAGGGCCGCGCAGTCTTCACCCTCCTCACCTGCTGGGCAGAGGGCCTTGCCAAAGAGGCCAGCTGAGAAGAGCAAAGGCTACCACCCCGACCCAGTGCCCCGCACAGAGCAGTGGTGTCACACCAAGGGGAACAGGTTACTAATCCCACCTACAACTCCACAAACTGGCACAGAGATCTTCCAAGAGAGCTGACTTGATATGGAACAGAGAGGGTGGGAAAGTTAAGGGAACGGTCAAAAACCAGGGAGGTTTTCCTGGGTAGCAATTAAAGAGATGGCTGCTAGCGCCATGAGAACCATAGCTCAAAGACCAGGTAAAAGTACCTGAAGGAGGGGGGATGGGGAGAGGAAGATGAGGACAGCTAATAAGAACCCAACAGGGACTGAAATTGAAACAAAACGGACTGTGGAACAATTTATGCCCCAAAGCATTGTTGAAACTAAGAGAGCAGTCAGTGAGGAATCAGCGGAGGCTGTCCGGTGATGTGACACAAGCAGAGACAGACAGCTAAACGGGAAGTCAGCGGGGAAGTCGAGGAGCCCTGCTGAAGTTACCACCATCCCAGGGAGACTGTGTGCATCCCCCCTGGCTTGCCTCCTCCCAGGAGCAACATCACTGGATGGTGCATTTGGAGGAGGAAAGAGACTTTGCTAAAAGAGTCCAGCCAGGTCACTACACAAATAAAATTACAACAGCCCCAGGGAGTGGGGGAGTCACAGAATCAGGATCTAGAGTTGCTACACTCTATTATCTAGAATGTCTAGTTTTCAGGGTAATCTATTACACGCAGCGAAGAAGGAAAGTGAGACCCAGATGGAGGGAGAAATAGAACAGAAATGCCTTTGAGAGGGCCCAGATGTCGGATGAGCGAAAGAAGACTTCAAGGCAGCTATTATAAATATCAGAATTATGTTACAAATACATTCACAAGCTTAAAGGCAATGTCTGCAGACAAGACACTAAAAGAAGTTAGTTCTTCAGCCTTCAATCACTTATTCCAATGCAGAGTGCTGGCAAAGGCAATTATGTAATTAGAAGACAAAGTAGGATGCACAGTTCTTTTCCTAATAAAGTTGAAAAGCAGTTGTCATAAACCAGTACATATATAATTGGTCTGTTGAGCTTGTAACATATAGAAATGTAATATGCCAGGAGTGGGCAACGGTAAGCTTCGAGATGTGATGATGTTCTTTTGAGTGAATAAAGCTACCGAAATCATCATAACCTGCATGTCTTTTTCCATATAAACAACTATAAACCCACTTTTGCCCACCCTGTTTTTGACAATTAGAGCACAAAGGGAGGATGGAAGTAAAGCTCTGTTAACGTAAGGAAATGATGCCACATAGTAACTCAAATCAACAAAAACAAATGATCAAATAAGCCCGCAAAAATATTCAATAACTTGTATATGAAACAAGACTAAGTAAGAACATGTACACTAGAATTATTCATAATAGCAAAAACCGACACAGCCCAAATATCCACCCACAGGGGAATCGAGAATTTTTGAAGGTGCTATGTTCCCACAGTAAGGGTATCTCACACAGGACAATTCTGCCAGCAACCCTATCATACCTCCCTAACCCATTCACCCTTCCTCCCTCCTAAATGACCATTCTGGACTTTGTCTTCTCCCATCCAACCTCAGTCTTCTAATAAATATCACCCATTCTCGCTCTCAACTGAAAATCCCACTTCCTACTTCACTAAGAATAAAAAAAAAAATCAAATCAAAAAGTCCACAAACTCTCATCCATCTACCCACTTATCTGCAACTGCATTCATATAACCTACCTGCCCCCCTAATCCTATGAATAAACTGTCTAGGCTCCTAGAGGCCAGCCTGTGTCCACTAGTCCCACTGCTACTTGTTTTCTCAAGTACATCCTGCTGGAAAGGTCTTCCCTTTCTTGCATCAGTATTTTTAACATCATCTTGTTCTTTCCTAACAGCCAACAAACAATTATTTCTCCAATATTGGGAAAAAAACCTCTCTTGTCCTCACCTACCTGACCCTCTTTTACCCTATTTCTCTCCTTCCCTTCTAACTAAGCTCCTCAGAAAAGTTGTCAATACTTTTCTCCAATTCCTCTTCTCCCATCCTGACCGGACTCAGGACGAACAGGATGTCACCCCACCACTCCACAGGAACTTCTCCCATCGAGGTCAGAAAAACACCAGTTTGCCAGGTTCCGTGAGCCTTTCTTAATTCTCACGTCACCTTGCCTTTCAGCAGCTCCTGACAAGCTTTCTCTCCTTTGAAACCCACTCCTGGCTTGTAGGACACGCTGTCCTGGTTTCAGGCTAACTCACTAACTGCTTATTCTCAGTCTGATTGTTCATCCTTCTCTCTCCGAGCAGAAACGTAGTATCCAGATGCCCAAACGCCTATATCCAGCCACCTCGTGTCCATGTCCACTAGGATGTATAATATGTAGCTCAAATTAAATAAACCTAAAATCGAGCTTCCAGATCTTCTTTCACACCAAACCGACTCCTGCGACAAAATTCATCATCTCCATTAAGCCGACTCCATGCTTTCAGGTCTTCCCAGGCCTGATTCCACTCTCGCTCCTCTCCCTCTTCCACTCAATTCCCAATCCCTTAGTCTATGCAATCTGTGGGCTCTGCCATGAAAATATATTGAGAATCCAACCAATTCTCATAACCTGCACATTGCCTCCCTGGTCCCAGACACTATCATCTGTTTCTTCAATTACTGCAATAGTCTCCTAAGTGGTCCTCTTGCTTCTGCTCTTGTATCATAATCACAACACAGCAGCCAAAGTGATCCTGTAAAGACCCAATTCAGAGCACTTCGCATCTCTACTGGCTTCCACTGGCTTCCCATATCAGAGTAAAAGTCACAATCTCTATCATGACCCCTAGGACTCTGGAAGACAGGGTTCACCATTCCCACTCTAGGGTCATGTTCTCCCACTTCACCCAACCCACTCTAAGACCCTTTAACCCAGCAGTACTGGCCCCTGGCTATTCCAAAGGATAAGCGCAGTCCCATCTCAACCACGGCTTTTCCCTAGCTTCCTCTCTGCCCAGAACCCCCGTCCCTCAGGTGTCCGCCTAGCTCATCCTCTCATCTCCTTCATGTCTTTATCCAAATGTGTTCTCAGTGATGTCTTCTCATACCCCCCTATTTAAGTGTAACAACCTAAAAACCCCTATCCTCTTTCCATGCTTTCTTCTTTCTCCATAGTATTAATTATCATTTAAGATACATTTTACTTATTTCCATTTTGTCTGCCTCTCTTTATTAAAATATATTTTCAAAACATAAAGTTGATGTTTAAGCAGCTCCCTAAGAAAAGCGTGCAATGTTAAACAATACATGCAAAACTCCAAAACTGACAAGCTAACGATGTGTTTGCAAATACACAGAAGGGTAAAAAACCTATAAAGAAAAGCAATGAAACAATTAATACAATAGGAATATGGTTACCTCTTGGGGGATAATGAAGGGAGAGCCAACATGGAGGCACATGAGGGCTTCCTGGATATTGTAATGTCGTTTCTTGGCTTGGGTAGGTAGGGTGTTTACTTCATTATTGTTCTGAAACTATACATGTATGCTTTCATATAGCCTGTTGTCCATATGCAATATTTCCCAGTTTATAAAAGACCACTATGAAAAAAATAAGTACTACATGGCTCAAAATTACCTTAAAAGGTAAAGCTATAGAAAGAAATATTTCTTTAAGTGATCAATATGTGATTTTAACCAGGCATTCCAAATCTCGTAACATATCTTGCTGGTTATAAAGACAACAATCATTTCACCTATATAAATGTTTTATACTCATTTTAATAAATACCCCCTGCTGTACTATTCCTTCATTGTGTGTATTTCTATTATTTCCCACATATACATGTAGGATAAAAGTTTAAGTTATCTGTCTCCTTTACTGAGGAAGTCTTAGGATTATTTCTAATACAGTGTTTGATACAGTTAATGATTTTTGTTGAAAAGATTTCAGACACTCATTATGCAGAGAAATAAGCAAGGATGAACATCATGAATAGTATGTTCATCAGTATTTACTAAAATTTAAGTTAATAAAATTTATAAAATTTTTCTGTTTCACTTTCCAAAACCTGACAGCTACGTTTTCAGAGAAATCAAAAAAACTCACAATAAAGGAATAAAATAGCTGTGAAAAATTAAGTGTAAAAAAAAAAAACCTCTCATTGCATCACATTTAAAGAGCTAGAAAAACTCATTTTTAATAATATTTCATTGGTTGTAGGATTTTAGGATAATGGCTTTTTTTTTAGCCACCTAATGACACCATGTCTTCTAGATTTCATTTTTTTCAAGTGTTGCTCTTTTATATGCCTTTCATTACCTTTGGCTTCTTTAAAATTTTTCTCTTCCTATTTGGGATATTATCAGTTAATAATAGTAACAGTAAACTATTACTATTCTAAGCATAGTTCTAAGCATAAGTTTCTTTGTACTTATCCTACTTAGTGCTGATGGAACTGCTTCCTTTTGTGACTTGATGTCTTGTCACTTTTGAAAATGATCAGTATTAAGACTTGAAACAGTGTTGTATATTATTTTCTCACTCCTCTTCAGATTCCAGTTACATGCATGTTAGACCATTTCCACATGTCCCTTAAAATGCTTCCCCTCTTTAATTTTTTATTTTTGTCTTTCTGTACTTTAGTATGGGTTTTCCTTGACCTATCTTCCATTTCATTAATTCTCCTCTTGGCTGTGTCTAGATTGCTGTTAAACTCATCCAAAGAATTCTTAATTCACTTAATGTATTTTTCATTGGTATAATTTCCATTTGATTCTTTTAGTAAAGGTTTCTAGTTGTCTACCTTATATTTTAATTCCTTGAAAATAAAGTTCTAATCATTTTAAAGTTTCAGAAAACACTGTTGTCCTTCAGGTGTGTTTATAATAGCTGTTTTTTCCAATTTTTGTTTTTTTCTAAGTGTTTTTTAAATTTTATGCTAGATATTGCACATTATATTACTGAAGAAATAATTTGAGGCTCTGTGCATTATTATCTTCCTCAAGCGAGAACTGACTTTTGCTCTGCCAACTAGCTAGGCTATGCACAGATCACCATAATCCAATGAAAGACTGTGATGATTCAAGGTGAGCTTATCCTACTAGTAGGTTTAGAACTTCAGGGATCAGACTAAATCCTTAAGTATGTAGCCAGACCCCTCTTCCTTAGCACATGTGAAAATTCAATTTTGCTCTTCCACATTGATTGACAAAAGCCAAGATCAGTTTCTCAGTTTTCAGGATTTATAATAGTCTCAAGGACAAAAGTTGAACAAAATGCCAATCTTACCTCCCTGGACATTCTACCTCTCCTAGATCTTGATCCACAAATTCTCAGTTCCTTAACAGTTAACTGATGCCTTCAAAGGATGTAATTCCTAATATTTTTTCAGTGGAAATAATAGTTCAAATAACCCATAAAATATAATTCCTCCAAACACACATTTTCTATTATTTCAACACAGTCGTATATTTACCAAACTATACCTACTAAACCATAAACCCATTTTTAATGTGGCAAAAATGTAAAATTAGTATGAACAATGGGCACATAATAGTAACATTTTAAAGTTACATAATATTTGACAAATGAAACTGATACACACTATAATCCATGTATAGTAGCAAACTTGAAAAATAAGCAAACAAAAAGCAGAAAAACTTTAAGAATGTTACAAATAGAAAAATACCATTTTAGTTCTCACTGATAATGTTACAAATCTTTTTTTTTTAAGCAGAACCCAAGGAAATAGTAAAGGATCATATGTATCTATAACATATTTGTAATGAGGTGCTCAAAATAATTTACTTTTATTTTATTAAATTCTCCTAAGGGACAAGTATACAGTGTTACTTGTGCATATGCTAAAATTGCCAAGACTGATCATTATATTCTTCTATGCAACATTTCACTATGGGAGATTTTCAAGTAAATAATCATGTAAGATCTGATCAAATTTCATTATGTAGTAAACAACAACTAACTCTCTCATTTTGACTTCATTCAACTAATACCCGTACTTCTCTTATCCATTCACTTTAATAAGTTCTTTCCCTGAGCAATACTGTGCCCATTATTATTAATGTGAACTATGCGGCCTCTATCTTGCAGAAGCAGTTATCTTTTCCTTTTTGATATGACACAGTATCTGTCATATATGGAAAAATATGTTAAGCAGGTTGATTGTGCCTTAGTTTCTACACAATTCCTCTTTTTATTATAGCAAAAAGTCAATAAGAAATGTTAGCATTATTAAAATAGGAAATAAAATGTAATGTATAGATTACCTAAAACAAAAAGATATTTTATTAATGTTAATAGTTATAAAAATATAAAGAATAATACTACATTTTATTAGACTAAAAATAACGCAAATTAACAAGGTCACCTAAAGAAGTCTTAATTTTTTTAAATTCCATCTTTTTTCAAATAAAGTTAAAAAATAGAATATGTTTGAAACTGAAGGGGGTATAACAAATCACAATTTGGTAAAAAACTGTATTTCATTTCACATAAAGGAATATGTGCTAAAAGTTTAAAAGAATGTGTAGTATCTTTAAAAAAAAGACACAAAGAAATCAGTTCCCTGGTTAATCAATCAATAAAAAAATAATAATATTGCAAGTACAAAGAGAGCATTATGGTTATGAATAGGCAATTCACTAAGCAAGAAACACAAGTGGCAAATGAACACATAAAAAGATGCTTTCTCACAGTAGTAACCAGGATATATGTATTAAAATATCAGTATCATTCACCCACATTACTCTGGCAAAAGAAAATATCCCCACCTTTATCACGTGTTAGTGAGAACAAGGAGAAACAGGCACACTCACACCTTGCTGGTGGAAACACATTACCACAGTCACTTGAGGAGCAATTAGGCAACATGCAGTAAATTCGAGGACATGAATATCCTCAGATTCACCACTTCATTGTTAAGTACATACCCTAGAGAAACTCTTGCATTTGTGCCTGAGCAGACCAGTATAAGACGTATGCTGGAGCATTTTTATAACAACAAAAGGAAAATCTAGCTAAATGTCACAAGCTTTGTATTTCGCAGGAAATGAGATAACAAAACTGAAGACATGGTTTTAAAATTTACAAGTGACAATAAAATATGAGCGCAAAGTAGAACAAATCCCAAGATAGATAATAACAATCCTAAAAGTTTGGTAAGCAAAACTTCCTGTCTGAATTAAACGTAACATCAGCACCGATAAGCACAAGTAACTGTAATGCTTACAGGATCAGACCCACTTTAAAGTCGAGACTTCCCAGCAATGCTGGCTACATAATCTACTATTTTGTGCCTTTGCTGAATAATTGAGTATCATTAGTTGCAATAAAAGAAGGCCAAGAATGTCTCCCTGAAAATACTTAATAAACACCACTATTATACAAATATAAACTATAACAGTGACACACTTTCCCAACATACTTTTGGCCTCATCTACTCACCAAGTCTTAGTGTTCACTTCATACTTATAAAGATCATCCACCAATCCATACTTGTTGCCTGGTAATGCCTTATAGCCTCCATGAACATAAATGGACTTTGTTATTTCATCATACACACTGGTATGACCATATCCACCTTGAACAATAGCACCTTTAGTTTCTGAAACAAGCCAAGTATTTGATGCTGTAAGAGAAAGAAGATAAATCATGAATTCCTAGTATTTAAAAATATAACTAATATGTCATCAAACCACCTAGTTAATTGTAATGCCACCTTTTTATGAGTAAGGTATACTTAATATTCATTTAATCAAGAAGCAATTATTAAATCTGAGCTAGTTACTATGTTAGGTGCTAGGAGTTCAAGATGAGTAAGACTGGCCTTTCTGTAGATCAAACTCTGAAATACTGAAAATGCCAAATTTATGTGTGCACGAGGAAAAAGGAAACTCTTATTCTCACATACATTTCTGTAACTGTAAATAACTCTGGGAAAAAAGCTGTCATAAATAGTTTCTGAGCGCCTACTATGTAAAGGCTCTGAGTTAGTCACTGATATTACAAATACAGAAAAGGACGTGATCTCTGCCCGTAACAATTTCTGTGCTGTCCTTTATCACTTCAAACAGGCATTAAATAGTAAGAGAAGAAATCCCTGGAACATCAGAAAAGGTCGATAAATATAGCAGAAATATGAGTACACACAACCTTTGCTCTGAGATTTCTAAATAATAACTGATGAAGAAAATAAAAATTATAACATCATCCGGTACTCAAGCCGATGGTATTAAAAAGTGGGGAAGATGAGGGAATCTAAATGAAAGTAAGGCTGCCATACTTCCCTTGAAAGTTTAAAATGTTGATACTAGACAATTATGATTACATGTGTGTATTTTTATAACCAGAGCAATTTCTAAAAAAACTATACAAAGAGATACACTCAAGAATAGTATAAGTATGCCAAGATAAAATTCTAAGTTGTTTAAGAAGAAAACAGAAACAGAGGCACATACAAACACACACACACACACACACACACACACACATACACACACACACACACAGGAAATAAAACAGCAGACTTAGGTACAGACTTAGCATATGTAAATTGTGTCAAAATTGAAAGTGTATTTAAAAATAGATATTCACCTTACTAGAAATGGATAGTTCATCATGAAATAACAGTATTTCACTCAACTATTTCTGAAACATTAAAAAAATTAAAAGTATAATAGCTATGACACAGGTCTAACACCAAGAGTGTCCTCTTAAATACCAGCGCCTCTCAAGGTCTGATCACTAGCAGTTCAATCAAGGAACCCACAGGTGACATGGTAGTCTCAGATGAAAAGCTAAGGCAATGATTTTGTTCAGGTCCAGGTGATAAACTTAAAATGCAAAGTTAATTACGATCCACATTCTCATTACATTTTTATTTTGCATTTAGAAGTGTACACTTGCTACAAGAAATCATTTTGGCTCCATAAACATTCAAGCTTTACTTGCAACATTTTTTGGTCAATTCCTAGAATGATGGCAAAGAACTGGTACTTAAGGCATGATCATTCACTCAACCAAAGGAAGAGCTAACTAAATCCTTAGATGCCAGAATCATGATCCCAAGCAATGAGGGGCGGAAACTATCCTCACTGATGTTCCAACATTAAGTAGACAGTGCGGGGCAGAGTGCACCTCACTTCACAGAGAGCGCTTACATAAAAAGCAGGAACTAGAGTCTAAGGAAGAAGCTTTGTTGCCAGCGACCGAATGCCGTAATGACCAGAACAACCAGTCGCTATGACGCCCACTGCAGCCACCGAACTGGTCCAAACGGGGGGGTGGGGCCAGCCCGCCAGCCTCCTGCAGCCCCTACCCCTGGCCAGCCCCAACCCCAATCGCTCCCCAACCCCAATCAGGGGTGGGGCCCACCATCACCCATAGTCCCTCGCCCCAGCCAACCCAGCCCTGATTGGGGTGGGCCGGCCAGCCAACCTTCCTTCCCACTCCCCCCACAGTCTCCTCCTCCCAACAGGCCCAGCCCCAATCCGCCCCGATCAGGGCCAGGCCGGCTGGACCCCACCTGTGCACGAATTCATGCACTGGGACTCTAGTTATTAGAATAAAATATAAATTTAGGTTGCATTAAAAATATTAATAAAATATCAACTTTAGAACAAAGGCAAGTAATGGTGTCACATTAGGTACCACACCATGCTCTATGAAGCTCTGTGAAGTTTGAATGGGTCAGTACAAAGTACAGTCTGTGCACAGAGGGTGGGAAAGATGACAATGTGTATTTTACACTTATATAACCCTTTGACTAGCTGCATGATCAATGGCCAGTTGTGCGAGACATCTGTCCTCAGTTCCTTTATCTGTAAAATGGGGTTAAAAGAGCATATATTTTGTATGTTCACTTTGAGGAGTTAATATGTATAAAGTGTTTTTAATACCACCTAGCATAGAGTAAGGCTTCAATAAATGTTAGCTGTTGCTATTATTATTATTCATTAGGAAATATCCTTTACGTTACTAGTGGCTGTGCTACTATAAGATATTAATATTGTTAATAAGATATTAATGAAACCTTATAACGTGCATACTAGAAGAACTAGGGATGCTCATCTAAAGAATAAAAAGTAAATGAAAAATAACATATCTCAAAATATTTGTAGGGCCAGTATGTGAAAGAGTGATTAAATTTCATTTGTGGGGTTCTACATAGTCATGAAAACATTATAACTGCATATTCCTTCTTAACATAAAATCTTACATTTAAATATATACGACAACAGAATGGCTGCCTGTTATGGACTGACATCTCCACCACTGTAGGAAGGTAAAGCAGAGACGGAAAGACCAGAATTTTCTGTGTTCTGAATGCACATTTACTAAAACTTTTCAATCTAACTCATGCACATTTTCAATTATATATATTTATGTAGCTTATAAACAGTTCTAAAAGCATATTATTTAATAATTTCATTTATCAAAACTAAAGTCTTTTGTGATATTTTCTGAGACATTGAGAAATTTTTAAAAAATGCATACAATCTTAGCGGCAGCCTTTGTCACAAAGACGTCGCAATTTATTGAAACCTTTTACTTACTGCATTGAAATTGTTTACTTTCCCTAATAAGTCTTGTAAAGTTCTTCACAATGAAAGGCAACAACAAATGCCAGGCCTACTTTAAGCACAGTGAAACTCCATGCTTTATGATTCCAATGACGGAATTATTTTTAAAGGGGAGATTTCTTCTATTAAAAATGCCTAATTCCCACGACCTAATATGCCTGTTCTGTAGATCAACACTTTCAGACACCAGTTTGCTGAAAAGCAAAATTCCATCTGCAGTTGAAATTCACCAGAGAATTTTGAAAAATATGTAATGTTAACAACTGAAGAGAATCACATAGAAGATTCACTTCTTAGAAAAATTGTATCTGATGGTTTTCAAATCAAAAGAGTTAACATGAAATGACATTAATGATGGTTTTCCAACTACTCCTTCCAAATTCTGAAAGCATGAAAATACTAAAGCAAAACATTAATATTATACTAACCTTGAGACTCACATTGAAGTTCTTCGAAAGTTTATGAGGTATTGCTAACTTAAAGGGAAGTAAATTTCCCTCAGGACTAACCCAGAAGAGCTTTATGGTCTAAGTTAGTAAAACCATCCAATAATTCTCCTCTGAGATTTATAGATTCCCTAAAAGCCATAATTCAAAGAATAGCAGAAAGGACAAAGTGATGTTTCTTTTATCGCCAGAGCAAGTTCACAGGAATTCTTACAATTTCAGTTCCAATATATGTCCTATACAACCAAATATAAAAAATATGTATCAACTTCCTCTAATCTGTTTTTAGCACTTCGTTTGAAAATAATTTCAGTCCAGCCAGTGTGGCTCAGCAAGTGACATTGACATTTTTTAAGAATAAAGTTCTTCCCCTTTTAAAATAAAAGATTCCTCATTTGAAGTTTATATGATACTGCTTGATTATCAGATTTAGGCATGTATCCCCACTCAGAATACTCTAAGCCAGGGGCTGGCAGCCTGTGTCCAAGGGCCAAATAATGGCCTGCTGCTCATTTCTGTAAATAAAGATTTATTGGCACAAAGGCAAATTCATTCACATACATACTATCTGTGGCTTGCTTTCAAATTTGAATGAGAAGAAACAGAGACAAAATGACTGAAAGAAAAAAAAAATTGCTATCTGAACCTTTACAGAAAAAGTTTGCCAAGCCTGCTATGAGTGATGTTTGTTTCAGCAGTAGCACATCCAGAGGCACGCAATGCCCAATTTCCCATGGCTCATGATGCGAACTTTGATCACCCATACAAGTACTGACAGAGTTACTGTTTCCCCCTGCACCGTATACACAATCGGTGGGGTAGACACTCAGATACCAAGCACATCTCACCAAAAATCCATCCACTCCCCACAGATTTAGCGTCCAACAATGCCAGCCTGCACTCTGTATAAGAAAGAGAATTCCCCTCAGCACTATTTGTGTCTGCTGATCTGTCCATCATCAGGTGCTAGCTCATGGAGTATATTTTTCACCAGCTTATAATTTATTACTTGCTTAAATTATTTTGATGCTGAGGTCGCCCCAGACTTTATCAATGGGCCCCTCCAAGCTGACACAGGGCTGTTTGACAGGACCCATCACTTTCCTGAGCACTTCCTTCATCTGGTAGAACAAGGCATACAAGGCTCATCTTTGCTTTCCCTGCCACAGCCTTACAATCAGCCATAACTACTTATGGGAATGTTATTAGAAACTGGATCTGGGAAAATTAGTGATCAGTGTGATCACTACTAGGGTGTCTTAGCTTCTAGGCCATTTCGGAAGAATCTACATCTACAGCTTTCTGTCTATCTATCTATCTATCTGAACATAAGCTCACACTGATGCCTCCAATTCCAACCCATTCATCAGACAGGATTCTTCCTTGCTCTCCCCATTTCACATCTTTATCTCCTATCTTCCACACTAAGAACTTTAATTCCTAATATCAACTCATTTTTTCAATCTAACAATACACCTAAAATAATTTCAGAAGTGCTTCACCAAAACCTTCCAAAACAAACGTAAAAGATTTGCTTGCACTTCTTCCCCACATCCACACCTAGACAGAGGCCATTCTGTCAAACATTATGTTAAAAAGCC